AACCTCCCCTAATGAGTCAGGGCAATGCCTGCCTTATCAGGAGCTGAAACTGCCCTGGAGAGCCGACAGAGAGGCTGACCTCTAGACACATGTACCATCGACACTGAATGCTGCAAGCTTTGGTCTCCAAGATCACTCCAAGCAACATAGTACCAGTTTGAATCAGCAAGATGGGGCAAAATCATCCTCTTCTGTTCCCCATTACAATGGAAAACATCCAAGGAGTCCTTAAAATAACCACACAGGACTGAGCAGTGGAGGGCAAAGAGAATGTCTGGAAGAACCTTTGTTTTTTCCCTTTTGGACATCAAAGGATGCTATACTGAAGAGGACTTAAAGACCAGGCAGTCCAACCTACTCGTTTCCCAGACAAGAAAAGTGAAGCCCAGAAACAGATGGGCTGCCTCCTCTAGTCATATGGGGCTTAAAAATATATATGTCTATTTATTTTTTCATGAGCTTTCATGAAAGTGACCAGTGTTATCTCATTTCCTGGCTTCTCAAATTCAGGATCCTGCCCAATCTAACTATTATTTATAGTGTGGATAAACCTTCTATTTCCCTACCTCCGTACTGTCCCACCACATGGAACCCCTTCTCCACTTTCCCTACCATCCACTTTGACCTTGTGGAAAGTTTCCACCCTTTAGGGATGATTCCAAACATTATTTTGTATATAGGCGTTTCCCTACTGAAGTAAAATTCCTCCTGTCAACACCAGTCCTTTATAAAACAATAGCTTACATAAGCTATTGTTAAAGGTAAATACTTTGAAGGACTGCATGGGATGCTTAAAAATGATGAAACTTAGTCCTTGAAATACCCCCAAGACACTGGTGACATTTTCAGCCTGTTATACAGTGAGTTTGAAACCTGTGTTTGGGGGGTCCTTATCTAACACAGCTCTAAAGCTGGGCTAATTTATTAAAAATATGGTACATATTAATATGCTTCTGAGGAGAGGAAAATCTAATCTCTAGCTTTTTCCCCTTAAATATCCTTCCACATTGGGGGAAAAAAAAACCAATGAAACTTCCTAGTTAATGGATACTGACCCCTTAAATTTTCAGATCCTCACTAAAGTGAAGTTAGGCTCAAAGTATTAAGCATTGCTGCCTAAACTTTAGTTTCAAGGCTGGTTGAAGTACGTTGCAGTCTGTTATTTCAGGGTGTAGCCCAACAACTGTATGGACGCTGTGTCTTTATCCTGTTATCATCTATGCTTAGCCAGGCTCAAACAGGCAAAGTGGTAGAAGCATTTTCCTTTTTTCAAATTTTAGCAGAGGCTGACTGGTGTCCCATCCCATCCTATGAAAATTTAAAGCCGCTGCCCTTGAATACATCATTTATGCTTTGCATGACTTTTCGTAGAAAAAGCTTTAAATGTTTCCATGGGTTATATGAACAATAAATGTTGGGAACACCATTTTTATTTAAGAAGTGACCGTGAAGGAATAGGAAAATTACTGGAAAGATGGAAAAAGTTTACAGTGTTGTAGAGTAGTTTTCACTTGGGCTTAACAAAATTTTTTTTTTCCTTTGGGAGAGTTTTGTTGGAGGTGTTGGTTTTCCTTGGTTATTAAATGTTTCCCAAAGGTGCTTATATTAAATGTCTGTTCAAAAAGCCTGTGGTGGTGTTGGGAGGTGGTGAGACCTTTAATAAATATGACATAGAGAAAGGAAGTTAGCTAACTGGGGACATGGCCTTCTGGGGGATTTTGGGAGTCTTCTCCTTTCTTGACTTGTTCTTTGCATCTGGCCACCTTGAGGTGAGCAACTTCGTTTCATCATGTGTGCCTGCAATGGTGTTCTTTCTCTCCAGAGGCCGCAAAATTACAGGGAATTTCATGGATTGACACCTCTTAAACCATGGGCCAAAATGAAACATCCTTCTTATAAGTTGCTACTGTCAGGCCTTTTGTCATACCACAGCAAGCTGACTTACAAACTGTCCTAAACACCGACAGCACCTGTGTCCTCTAAATGTTAAGGCAAGAAGAAACCATATGGGTTCACTCTTGCTCCCTGGCACTTGACAATGAATCAGAAACTCAGACAAATGAATTTATGTATCTGAACCCAAGGGAGACAAATGAGAATCTATCCTTCATTGTGTTTTGATCTTTCCACATTAGCAAGCAGCATCTCATTAATGTGACAGCTATTATAAAGAGTGGTCCAAACAAGAACCCAGCATTTACACATGAGCTTTGGGAGTTAATGCTTCATCATCCGGCTCCAGAGAGTGGTACACAAGAAATAATCCTCTCCTCAGAGTTTTCTGAGGATTCAATCTTCTAAAAGTATCTCTTTATTAAAAAGAATAGAATTGCGTATTTTTCTTTTGCTAAAGCTGAAGAAAGCAGATTTAAGCTGATCTATAGAATCGATGTTGTAATTGTTTTTCTTACCATCAAATATATTACATTTGTCAATTTCTGTCTGTTTTCTAAAGTCTCAAATAGTTCAAATCATGACCAGAAAGTCAGGATGTGGAATCTTGAGTAAGCATATAAGCACAAACATTTCACCTTCCTAGAGAAGCAATACGCTTAATTTTATGACAGATCTGTAGAGAAGCATTAAAATTTAATCCTTTTTGCATTGATGTTGGGAGCAGGATTTCTAAGCCGATAGACAACATTCCCAAGAAGAACAACAAGAACTTTTGTTTAACTCTGTTTTCTCTAAGACCTTAACTTTAGAAGATAAATGTAGAGATCAAAACTTTTAAGAGATCCAAAGCACAAGCAGGAAAGTTTCTGAAGAGATGAGAGAGAATAACAGGTAGAGGAGATAATAGTCAATGTTATATATTTGTATGAAAATGTCCTTGTGCAAACCTAGCACCACGTGCCGTGAACAATGCACCAAGACAAAAGGAAACATCCTCTCCATTAATTCGCTGGATGGACTTATACCCATGAGCTAGTAAATCATTACAGACCAATATTCAGATATTCCTTTTGCTACCCTTTTCACCTAGAGAGGCTAACAGTAGATGCAAGCTTTACTCTTGACTGGATAAAACCTGAGGTACAGACAGCAAGTAACTGGCCCTTAGCAAAAGTTGTGTTGAAGGGAACTATCACTGTAGAGTGCTGTGGAAATGTTCTTCCTGGTGATGTGTTAATTTTAACAAACTTTATCATAATGAAGAAGCATATTTAACTCATGGAAGGTTTTTTTTTTTTATAGCAGTTCTCAGTAAGTTGCAAAATAAAATCTGATGAAGTCTCCAAATAGTCTTTTCCCTCCCCCTTTGTAAAATAAAGAACTCCAAGGGCAGAGTGGGAAGGCTTAATGATAAAAATATAAAGAGTAGGATTCCTATTATCTTTAACCAAGAATAAGTTAAATTTACCAGTTTCTTTCCTTCGGAAGAGTTTAGTTAAGGAAACAGAGATGTTAAAATTTAAAATAATATTGTTTCTCTAAGACAATCTAGTACTTGGGAAATTAGTTTAAGATTTAAAATGATGTTGAATGTCAATCACTGACAATTACTTCTTCCTTCTGTGACCACTTTACTTTGGAAAACAACTTCAATGCTTCTCTGTTGTGTAAGTTTCCTTGGAGTCTGAAACATTCCATCTTGTAGGGAAGCACCTTAAGCCAGTGGAAGGTATACAACTCGATAGTTCTAAGAAGTCCCTGAAACTGTCCAGATTCACTAGGCCCCTTCCTGCCAGTGTAAGCAATAAAAGCTGAGAGTCCCTCTGGGACTGGCCAAGTTAAGGTGCAGACTTTCAGAGAGCCAGGCTGTGAAGACTCAGAGACCAGACTACCTGCCTGGCAGAAGCAGAAACTAGCCACGCTGCCTGGAAAACATTTAGGCTAGAGTCACTTGGGAAGGACATTGTCCACCCTGTTGAGCCTGACTGCAGGCTGTGCAGTGTGCTCCAGCTTCCCTGGGTTTTGGGAGCTGCTAAGGTCAGCCTGGACGTTGCAGTTGTTTTTTGAGTCCTTTTTCCTTCTGTAAGTAACCCCTCACTCATATTCCGGCAAGTAACCCCTTAAAACTCATTGGTTCACCACGTTGAACCTTGGCAGTCTGCGATCTGTTGTGGGTTTTCTATCTGAGGTGTGTAGACACGTGTGTTTGTGTCTCCACAGGAAAAGTTGTTACACACATCGCCTTAAAGATGACCATGCTTGATTAAGCCACATCAAGAAATGGGAGTCATGTGGCTGTGTGCATTCACCCCGGCATGCCAGCATGTTGAAATAACCCCCAGTTATTTCAGACATATATGAAGAGATTAGAGTGTAAGGAAAATTAAGCGATCATGAGGCCACCTCTTAATTTCCACCCTGGACAGGACAGTTGTTGTGACATATCTGAGAAGCCACCACACAGTGTCTAGCAGAACCTGAAAGCAGCATGCTACTTCGCATGGCAGCCCACTCCTGTGTTCAGAAAGCCACATACAGCATTCGATGCTTCTCTTTAATTTTGAATAAACATCTCAGTGATCTTAACTTGACCCAGACCTGACTCATGATGGTGCAGCCTACTCTTTTCTCACCGATGAACTGTAAGGCTTGTCTCCCTGCTTCAAGTGTCTGATCCTTGGATGACACTCACACACCTGTGGGTTTTTTGTTTTATCTCTCATCTGTCCATATTGTTCTTCTCCAGGAAAGCTGTTCTCTGCAACCAGGCATGGTGCTATGCAACTGTAACCTTAGCATTTGGGAAGCCAAGGTAGGGAGTGTGTGTGTGTGTGTGTGTGTGTGTGTGTGTGTGTGTGTGTAGGGGAGGGTTATGAGTTCAAGGTCAACCTGGGGGACAAAGCCAAGCCCTGCCTAGCAACCCACCAAACAAAACCCAAAACAACCCCTCAAGCAAAGCAACTCTTTTTACAGTGTCTCAGAATTTGCTAATCTCCCCTTGGAAAAGCATGTATTTGTATTTATGCAGCCCTACACTGGAGAAGAATTCCCCTTGCTCACATAGGGCTCCTTTGGGACAGCAGGCCTGTGACCTGAGGACTTACCTTTGCCAGGGTCTCGTCATCCAGGTGATTCTTCTGAATCACATGTTGAAGTGCAAAATAGATTTTTTCCTGAAGCTTCTGGACCTTTCTTGGTTCTATCAGCCAGGCTCGGTCTGACAAGGGGAAAAGCCAAAGAATAAAAAGAGAGAACACACGCTTTTCTTTGTTTCCCTACATGTATGAACACTGAAATTTGGACCCATCTTAACTTAGCCGTAAGTTGCTTTTGAAGATATGTAATTATTTATATAAAACATAAATATCTTATAAACACCACCACGAAGCCAGCTACACAGGAAAGCCATTTGGTTCAGAGAAAGGCCCGTTTTGCCTAGTATTAGTAACTCTTTCAACGTTTCGTCCTTTCCAGACAGATGCTTAGATTTTCTTTCAAATATAACAGCAGAAATAGCTGTTTTGAAACTGTATAGAAATACTGTTAATAATCACAATCCTCTTCCTTAGCTTGAGCTATTCCTTCATCAGGTATAAAGCTGATACCATGCTATGATTTATAGAGCACACTCATCAATTTCAAAAGCTAACTGTCCTGAATTAAGCGATAGGTAGGTTAATCCCACCTTTCTCCTTCGCTTGCTCCTATACACTTCATTTTCCTAGCTTTCTCTCTTCTCATCTCCAGTACTTCCTTCCTTTCTGCTTAGAAGCTTTATACACCATGATGACAAAGTGTAGCTAGTCTCTTATCATTGCCTCAGTTTGCTCAAGAGACTCTGGGAGTCACCAAATGATGAACAAACACTCATGGAAAAGCACTTGACCGTGATCCTTCTGAACGTAGTTCAGGGAAGGTGAGAAACCTGATTCTGTAATCCTAGCCAGGGCAAGGACAAGTCAAGCCAAGAGTTAAGCAATCCCTTACATAAGTGAGCACAAAGGACTTCAGTGACAATTGTCAATCAGAATCAATGAAGTTCCCCTTTCCCTTCCTTAAGCTATTTGGGAGTAAATAGACAGTAGCTAGTAAGTCAAAAGGCAGGGGAAGAGTAGGGTCTGACCCGAGAGGACACGGAACTCTTTTCCGTCTCCTCTAAGCCTGGTGCTATGCCACTATGATGAACAGGGTATTTGATATTGCAAAGCCTTGGAGTGTGGGTCTGCTACCAAGGCTGAAAGACTCTCCACTGGACAGAGAGTCTAAGACAAAGAGAATGCTTCCAAACTCTTCAGAGTGTAAGGACAGCATCTGTAGTTTGCAAAATGGCTAAACAGTTCAGTTGGTTTCTAACTCATGGAGACCAACCTAGCTGTCTGGGAGGGTTTTTTCTACTGCTCGCTCAAGCTGGAGCTGGCATGTCTTCAGGCTCTGCTGCTAGGAGTTCACTGAGTTCCACAAGCATACCCAAAGAGGAGGGGACTTTTGAAAGGCTCTCCCTTTGAGTGAGCAGGAAACAGAGAGTGGCTGGCTTCTGCATCCGCAGAAGCCGTTCTATGGAGCAGAGCTCAGAGCAGACAATCGAATGCAGCGAGAATGAGAGGACACTCTCTGACATGCAGTTGCTAGTAAAAGGGGCTTCTGTCACTTTCCAGACCTGTGTTTGTGTTCCTGGGCCTTTCGGTTTTAGATGAAAAGGGTCAAATGAAAACCAGAAGCAATTTTTTAAAGACACGATTGGACGGGCTATCAGTGATCATGTTGTGAGCAAGACAGTCTCTGGACAGGAAAGGGCAGAGAGAGGCGCCTCTTTGTAACTACAGCTAGGATGATATGTCAAAGATAGGATAGCATCATAACCACGTAAAAACTGTGTCTTCCAGTATTACTGAAAGAAACATGAGGATGTAAATAAAGAGGTTGATCTCGGAGAAATGAATCGCAGAAATCATTAATCTTAAAAATGGGGAGGGGTGCATTCTTCATTCAGTAACAAGCTGACAAGAAGCTGTTATGCCACATATTTAACAGACAGTTGCCTGGGTGACTCTGGTCAACGAGGGAGCATGTATTTATTGCATATTATTTTTTCTACTATATGATTATACATTATTGAGCTCTTTATTGTGACACTTTAAGCAGGTCATATACTTTAAAGTACATCCGTTGCTACAGTTTTAGCTGATCCATAAACGTCACAGCTTTGGAAAAGCAGTTTAGTATTTTATTTCATTTGAGATCTAGAGAAGGCATGCTGTGCGTCCCCCCACCCCCGTTGTAGAGTCTAAGATTCTATTGCCGTATTTTGTCAATGAGGCCACCACAGCTTTGGAGTCACACATATAAGTGATGGCATGCAGCCGTGTCTGAGATTCCTCCTCTTCCACCAGGCGAGACCCGCTCCACAACTATTCTTCCCCTTAGGAATGCTTAATATTCCTAAGGATATTTGTCTTGAAAGACGATTGCAATGCGTTATGGCTAGAAAAGTCTAAAAATGCTAATTAAGGTTCCTATACTTGGTCTTTCATTTAGACATTTTCTGTAAGTTTCACTCTGTTGGACTCTTCATTAAAAAAAATTTCCTTTATTCTTAAACTCAAAATAGAACCCGGCCACTCAGTCAAGCCACAATTCATTTTTTATTGTTTTTTGAGGAACAATTTTGCTTACCTGGACCTGGGATGATCCCTGCCACATGTGACATTCTTGTTTTAGGGGAAAATTGGCCATTTTAATAAATGTGAGACTACTTGCCTTTGCATTGTCCAAAAAATATCAAACAATCGCTAGAGAAAATACGGTCCCTTTAAAGTTATTTCTTTAACGCTTTGGCTTGGGAAGGTGTAATTGATGTTAAAGATAGTGAAGCAGGTTTGAAAAGAAGGCAAGGGACCCGTGCCTTCCTACCTGGGGATATCAGAACAGCAGAAGAGAACAAAGCGATCTCCTCCTCAGTCAGCTGCAAGGAACACAGATTCTTCGCAAAGTCAAACGCTTCGTTCACCAGGTCATCAGAACCTAAAAGGAAGGAGAAATTTTGAGGGGAAATACTGACTTGAGATGGGGCACTGGAAGAAGCCCCTCATTATCAAGTAGGCCATCAAAGGCTTGCATATTAGACACTCAAACTGGACAATTTAAGTTCCCAGTCACAAGAAGTGAATGAGGAAAGTGGGCAACACCTTTGCCAGGTAACTGAAGACAGCCTTAGCGATGAGGGGGTAAAATACTGACTAGTGAGCACCGTGTCACGCCAGCTGGGCACACAGCCTCAACTCTACAAGTCTGAAAGTATTCCTAGCTAAGAAGTTGTAACTAAGCTGGATTTGAAGGCACATGCATAGGACGTCTGCACTCAGGAGGATGAGGTAGGAGGATGGCAAGTTTGAGATCAGTCTGGGAACATGGTGAGACTCTCACATCCATAAAGCGTCACTAACATGACTGCCTAGACATGAGCTGACTGAGGACCACAAAAGGTATGCCAGAGTGGATGAGAGGAAGACCATGAGGCCTCAGCCCTCCACGAAGAACGAGCTACAGACAACTACGGAAGGCTGAGAGCAGAAGGAACAGTTTTCCCCAGCAATTAGTCAAATACCAAATGGTCAGCCCTGAATACAAGTAGCATTACACAGAGTATGGTATATTCAGCAATATATATATATATATATAAGTATATATATATATACTTGTAATAAGAATTAGTGAAAAAGGGCATGAATTTGAATGGGAGCAAGGAGGGTTCTATGGAAGGGTTTGGATAGAGGAAAAGGAAGAGAAAAAAATTACATAATTATACTATAAGATCAAAAATAAAAGAAAAAAATGAAAAGATTTTATGAATAAGGGATTTGAGAATCCTTTAGACTAAATCCTTTCAGAGAAAACCTAGAAAATTCTATGCTGGGGTTCTGGGAGTGTCATTTGTAATGGTACTCGAACCTGGCAGCATGAGACATCCAGGGGCTTCAAACTGAGCCTTCTTACACAATGATAACGAGCTTCTTTTGTTTTGTGCACCCCACCCCCCAAAGTTAGACTGATTTTCATTGTCTAATTAAAGGGCTCACATGTCAGTTTCTTAGTCATTGTGAATTTTGACAAAATAGCATTGTATCTCTGCGCCGATCTCTGTAAATGTTTATTTGATGAAGCTGGAAATATCCCGAAGCTGTCTGCCAAGTCTTTTCCTCCTTTCTTGAAAATCTAGCCTTGAGAAGGACATGGAGGCATATCAACTGTAGAAGGGGAAAGGTGCCAGCCCATTGGACTTGCTGGCGCTGCCATATCAGCTAACAGCACAAGAGGTGAAAGGCCAGTGGCTTCTTTGGTGTCCATGGATGGATATGGAACAAGTGGCCCTATCACTTGTCCAGACCTTTCCTGGCCTCAGCCCATCTTTGCTAATGTTCTCATGCGTGCCTCTTCCTGGCGATTGGATAGGAGGTAACTCAGCACCTCCAAAGACTCATCCTGCTGGTGTAGCCCACAGAGTGATCTAGGGGTCACTCTGATCAGGACAGTGTCAACTGTCTGTGCTCCCAGAAACTCAGAGTCCACAGGCAGATACACACTCTTCTAGATGGAAAACAAATACAGCAACAGGCTGTTGTGTATGTTACATGTGGTTATTTCTCTTGATTATCTTCACCAATGATTCTGAATTAACTTAAGAAACTCAAAGGTCGCTCCTAGAGACTTCCAGTTGTCTGCATAATATGCTCTGTAGAGCAGTAAACCAGAAGTTAGGAAAAAATGGGGGTTGTACAAAGAGTGATCTGGAGTGGACTCAACTCATTTAGCATTAGACTTTGTTTATTTCCACTAGGCCTCAATTGTGCCAGTTTTAATAGAGCTCATTGTTGTCCCCTTCCTGATTAGGGACTGAAATGATAGGAACTGGAGAGTTAGATGAAATACTGATCACTCACCTGGTCCAATACCAATCAGACGAGATACTAGGCATATCACTAGCTATTTCAATATAAGTTGGGGAGCTGATGACACTTAGTAAAGCAGTGTTGTCATCCAAGAGGGACTTACCTAAGGCTTTGAACATCTGCATTCCTCCATATTTTCCTTCAAACAGAACAGTGTTGTTTAATGGATTGAAGGCACGGCACATTCTCACTAAAACCACTTCCAAGCAACCTATAAGATGAAAGAATTCAAGATTCATATGTGTTTATCATATATCCAACAATAAAGTGGTCCTAGTACATAAGAGATGGGAAGCTTTTCAAGGACTTTACTTTTTTTGATACAAGATCTCCCTATGTAGGCTTTAAACTCACGGTCCTCCTGCCTCAGCCTTCAAGGTCTGGGCTATTCTACCAAATCTAAGAACGTTCTTTCTTTAAAAGTAGTAATCTTAGGGGGCTAACGAGATGTCTGAACTGTTAAGAGCACTCTCTGCACTTCTAGAGAACCAAAGTAGGTATCAGCATCCATGTTAGAAAGGTCACAACTACAGGTAACTCTAGTTCCAGGGGATTCTATATTCTCTTCTGGTCTCTGTAGGTACCTCTACACATGTGGTGCACGTAGCACGCACGTGCACACGCACACACACACACACACACACACACACACACACACACAGAATAATAATTTTAGGAAGACCTTTTGATACTTAGTGTAATGTCTTTCCTAACACTTAGTTGAAGAGTTAAAGAAAAAATATTTGTTAAAGGTAGGTAATATAAAAGGCAGCAAAAACATTTTGTGGGGAGTGGAGCATTTCTTTGGAGTTTTTGACTAACAGTAAATTTCACTCCAGCTTTTGAATTTGTAATTGATAAATGGTTCAGGAAGGACTTGTGTCAGCCTCACATCCAATCTGTGAGCTTTGGAAAGGGGCTACTACTGGGAAAATTTACCTTTGAGTTTCTCTGCCACATGAAATAGCAATAAGCTCTTGGGGGATTTCATTCAGTCTTGCTTCATGTAGGACCAAGGAAAGTTCTCAGCACAAGTTAGGCGCTTAATAAATTCATCGACTGCCTTTTTTGTCATCTAAACATCCATTTCTATCCAGAAGCACTACTGTTGCACAGTTTCTCCATATTTTGGAGATGTGAACTTTGCCCTATTTGAAGGTTAGCGACTCCAAAGTCCCAAATTCTCTGTGAAGACTGTGCAGTTGGTTGCGTCTATGGTCCCTTTCTTACATTCTCACTTTATTCTTATGTTTGATTTTATTTCTTTGCTTTACTCAATTTCTTTACTGTTAACCTCTGGGTTTAAAGACAGGAGAAGATGCACAAATATTAACTCAACACGGTCATTCATCTTGATACCAGTGGGAACAGATATCGTTTATTGCTTATCTGTAGTATGGAAGAAAGTTTTCGGGGCTGGAGAGATGGCTCAGTGGTTAAGAGCATTGCCTGCTCTTCCAAAGGTCCCGAGTTCAATTCCCAGCAACCACATGGTGGCTCACAACCATCTGTAATGAGGTCTGGTGCCTTCTTCTGGCCTGCAGACATACACACAGACAGAATATTGTATACATAATAAATAAATATTTAAAAAAAAGAAAGTTTTCTGGGCCCCTTGCAGTCATTATAATGGTTACAACTTGCACTGACCGTTTCAAATAAATTTTAGATAGCTCCATTGCAGGATTATGGGAGGTTTTAAGGTGGTAAATACCTCTTATACTGGAGACAACATTTATTCAGGAGGCAGAGATGTTAATGACCATATAATTCAGTGCCCCCCAAATACCAGTCATGAATTTGTGATCTCTGAATCTCAGAAATGAGCTGACCTGGGTTCCCCTCTAACAGGTTTGAATTCCATAGTCTGTGATGGTGGCTGCTTCTCTGAACTGTGGAAAACTCCTTTGCTGCATGGAATACAATTCTTAGTTTGGAGTTCTGGGTTTCGAGTTCCATCCTTTATTTTAAAGGTCAGGACACTGCTATCTTAAAGTGTCAGTCCAAGTTCATACATCAAATTGATCAGATTTTATTTATTATTTGTATTTTTATTCCACACTTTCTAAACTCATCAAGAGATGGAAGTCATAAAGTACCTTTGACCCTGAGTAGGCTTTCATGATGGCGTTAGCTGATAGAGGATGGTATTCACAGCCCATCCTGGCTTCTTAAGTTAAGTTAGAAGAGTCTAAGAACGCCTGCTGTGTTGTTTTGGAATTCCAGCTCCCAGAGCCCACTGGCTATACTGCCTGGAAGTCCAGGCCTTCTGTGGAGATGACATTCTTACAGAACCAGCAACCGAAGCCCAACATCAGAGCCTTTGCCGATGCCAGTCTGTCATCCAGCACGGACAATCCTCCACGTGAGGAAGAAAGTGGATTCTCCTGTCCTGATGGGAATTGCCTCAGTGTGCAAGAAAATAAACACAGTAGGGACAAGCCATTCCCTATAAACTATAGCTTTGAGAGCAAGATAAAAAAAGAATTCTTTAGCTAAATGTTAGAATAGCTAGGTAACTGATAACGCTAGAATTAGTGCCTGAGTCAAAGTTCTTGCCGGTTTATATTATTGGTTAAGGAATCAACATTATATTATCATAACAACTATGTGTGGCCTATATTCAAACACCAGTTTTATCATGATTATTGAACACAATCTTTGACCCTTCTTCATGTTTATAATCTTTGCTTCAAGTGTGAAATGATGCCAATCTTGTAAGTATAAATGAGACATGCAAATGTGAAGACATGTTCATGGGAAAGGGATGTTATTTCCATTGTGGAAAAGTCCAGAAAGATGAACCCAAATGCTACTCTGTTCCAATTTTCTTTTCAAAGGGTTCCGAGAAAGACATGAGTTTTTGTTTCTGCTTTTTTTTTTTTTTTAATTTTATGTTGAGTTCCTAAGGGTCTTCCTGTATGTTAAAGAGAACACTAGAGAAGAGGAAGGAAGAATCCCCACACAGAGGAGTTTCTTCCAGTAGATCCCTGCTGGAGGCTATTCTTATGAAAATGATTAGAAGTGACCACGGAGGCTGAACCCAGCCAGCCTGGATGTTTTTGTTCTCTTGCAGAATGCAAGGAGCTGGTTTTAGCGCCAGCTCAGCAATTCAGCCACCTTGACACGCTAATTACTTTCGCTGCCTGTCAAGCTGGGCACCTCAGCCTCCGCAATTAATAGCTAGCTCTACTTTCAATAAGCAAAATTGTATTTGACTTCAAAGGGGGAAATGAATGAGTATCAGGGCATTTTTATTACTGGGTTTCCTTAGGGAGTTAGCTGACAATGTAGGTGGTAAAACGGCCTACCTGTGGAAGCAGGATTTTTTTAGGACCATCAGAGGGCGGAGGGTCAAACAGTCCCTGTCTGCAACAGGCCTCCACAGGTCGGCCAGGCTCACCTGACTTCAGCAGTAAAATCTGGTCGTTCTGACACAGCTCCATGAAGCCTGTTATCCGCTTTGCGAACTCCACCACGTACTGGATGGCATGGGTGATCTGGATGGCGCACTGCTGCCACAGAGCCTCCCTGGACTGAAGCAGAGGACACAGACCTTGAGCTGAGCTCCTCCGCGGAGCTGATGAAATGCACATGCCCCGTCACACTGGTCGCTGCCACCCAAGGTGGGAAATCAAGAGTTGGCTTTTCTTTCTCTTTTGAATTATGCAAATTATGTGAATTCCATTGAGCTCAACTGTCAAAAGTATCTAATTTACCAAAGCTAAACAGGAGAAGCAAGGTTTATAGAATGCAAAATAATTATTTTCTTTTCTATTTTCCCCATTTCTTACAGCAACAAACTTTCTCTTAGTCTGCTAGTTAAAAAGAAACCCCATGTTGAGGAATATTGATTTTATCCTAGCATCTACCATAATACTGTTTTTATGGGAATTTGGTTGACACTGAACATAATATCTTTATGTTGTGTTCTTTCCCCAGAATATAAGAAAAAACATCCTGATTTTCTGGTTGTCATTTATTTTATGGGAGAGGTAGAGAGTCTCACCCTGTAGCTCGGGCTGGCTTAGAACGAATGTGGAACTCAAAGATTCCTCAGATTCAAAGAATCTTTCTGCTCTGGCCACCTGAGTGCCAGAATTGTAGGCAGAAGCCACCAAATGAATCAGATTTTTTTTTCCTTTGTATAAGAGAAATTCCATAGGAAAGATGGGAGTTCAAATCAAGTCACTCTAATAAGTAATATAGGACCTCAAATGTATTTTACTACTTTAGCTATTTCTCTTTGAACTAAGAAACCTAAATCTATGTGACTTTGAAGTCTACTTTCTATGGATCTTCTTTCGTATGTTTCTATAATTATGCAAAAGAAGCAAGAATTAGGTCACCATGTTGTTTAACTCATATGTTTAGATAAACACATTTGCTTCACCTGGTAGAACTGGTGGTTGACAGTCTCAGTTCCAAAGTCAAATAATAAGAATCCTTAGGCCCTAGGAGCAGGTCTTTCCCTTAAATGTGTCTAGTGTACTTAGAGAAACACGGCTATTACTGATAGTACGAGGTGAACTGCCCTTTTGTAGGGCCATTTTCAGGAATGTTGAGCAAAAATAAAATGTAGAATGTTTTGCTCCCTGTGTTTGTTTAGCAACCCTGGGCATCATTTTTTGGCGGTGATCATCTAAATTCTTCTCCTTGGCTGAACCCTTGCTACTAGGAGAAGTCCCTTATCTGACAAAGACTCCATCTCTCTTGTCAAATGGGGCCACGACTTTCAATCAAGGTAGTTATGTCTTCTAGGGAACTTGTGGCAACAAGTGGACATTTTTGGTTGCCGCAACTGTGTGAAGTTGGTACGTTGTAGATACTCTCAGTCAGTAGAAACCAGAGAGGCCGCAAACCGTCCCTACAATGCACAAGGTAGTCCAACAGCCAAGAATGCTGCGGCCAAAAATGTCAATAATGGTGAGATAAAGAAACAAGAAATGGACAGTTACAGACACAATCCCCATGGTTCCCAGAGTACCTTGCTTTGATACGCTTTTATTTCCTCGTAGGTGTGGGTCTGCCAGGCCAGCTGATGTAGCTCCTCCATTGTGTACTGGCATGTTTCCAGATGGGACTTAATGATGTTCTGTGCAATTCGATCTATCAGAATAAAACAGTAATTTGAGGTTTTGTGAGTAAAATCTTTCTACTCCAAGAAATGATTTCTAGAAGATGCTCTGTAAAGGATGCAGTCAGTGATGGGCCAGCTGCACAGTCATATGAAAACATCTAAACTCCACCTCCAAGCTTATTAAAAACTTCCAAACTCTTTATTGTCTTCCAGTCAAAAGTTTCTCATCTCCTTCCTTGGTGATAGCTTTGGTGAACAAGCTGTAAAGCATTCAAATCACCGTTTGACTTTAAAACACATATTAAATTTCCCTATTATTCACTTTTTGACTGATAATTTCTAAAAAGTTTAACATACCCATTCCAAATACTCAAACATGTTTTGAAAAAGCACTGAAATAGTTTTATGCCAGAAAGAGGGAATTGAATACACATATATGCTCTCATATTTAAATCAAATAAAATAATACAATGAAAGAGAAAGGTGTTTATGTGTAGAAGGGAAAACTAAGTAGAAAAACAAAGCTTCATCCAGCAACATGTGTTTTTAATCTCTATTTATGGCTATGTGCATCTCTCACAGTTACCACCAAAGACAGGGTAGATATGAAATAACTTTGGCCTGCGAGTAGGTAACTAATAATGTTCACGGTGACATTAAATTTAACCTTATAAAATTTTCATATGAAACTTGTCAGAAAGTTATAAACATGGAAACCATCATATCAACCAAAGGGGAGTTGTCAGATTATCTTTTGGGCTGTTTGTCTCAGCTAAGTTGTATTTTATATTCTGTCTTAAATTGCTGTTATTTTGGCTTTGGTTGAACAATAGAATTGGACAGGAAAGCGCTCCTGAAAACTAGCTAGGAGTTGCCTGTGTCAGATGGAGCTGGCTGGCTGTCCTTTATATTCCCACACGTTGTTTGAACACGTGGAAAAGAGGGAAGCCTGAAAAGTCCAAGGACTCAGGGTTCTTGTATGTAGGGTGTGCATGGAATGAAGATGACCAAGCCCATCTGGTCACTGCTGTTCTTGCAGAAGCTTTCTTGTGTTTCAGGTGCTTTTGGCAATGTAAGCTTGCTGTTATTCTAAATGGTTTTACTTTGTTTCTCTGGATAGACCTCAAAGTGATGCCAGTGCCCTCTCTGCCCTCACTGTATTTCGGGTGTATATGGTGTGAAGTTGGTTGAGCTTCAGTGACACAGAGGATAAAAACTTTAAGCTATGCTTCTAGGGAACTTTCTAAATGAAGTTCTCTTTAGTTGACTGGAAACTTCGAGTCAGTGGTAGCTGCTGTTATTGCTGGAAGGACATTCTATGTGCTTTCTCGCCAGGGAAGCAGTGTGCAGAGTTGAATGGATATAAAAGAGGGTTATTTGCTATTTCAGTCAGTCTCCTAATGGGAGACATTTCAATATATGTTAGCATTTTTCAAACCAGAACTATAAAGTGACAGAGATAAAGGTACTGCAAAATGCTAGCTTATGATGACGGTCATATTCTATTGGCTTCAACATCAACATTTCTAGCTTTTTAGCATATTGCATTTCAAAATCCTTTCCTTATAAAATCTATACTCAAAGTGTATTGAATATCCTCCCATGTTATAAAGAAGGGTGGGAATTACTCTCTACATTATATTAAAATAGATTGGTAAGTCATGGTTGATTATTTTTCAATTTCATTTGGGGAGTCTAATTATTTATATTCTAAAAATTAGATATCTGTTCCCCAGTAGTTATGCAATGAAAACCTGACACTGAAGCTTTACAGTCTTCAGACCCAGCGTGGCTTGTTTTCATCTTCAAAGGCATGCTGATTTGTTGGTGACTCACAGGCTGCAGGTTTATAAGCAGAACTAGAATTACTACTTAAAATTGCACTGTGGATGATGATCTGCTCTTTTGGGTTATCTTCTGGGAGGTATGGAGAAAAGTTTAAGAATCCTCTGGTCTTCTGCCACTTGACACGTGCAGTTTTACGGAACATCGAAGAGGAGCATGGGGACCATCAATGTGTGGAAGGGCTGAGGAGATTGGACATCAAGTCTACACCCTCACTGCAGGACTTGGCTGCTGGAACACTTGTAGCCAAGGCTTCCCTACCTCTCTGTGGCTTCCTGCAGCGGGGCTGGCTGGTCATACTGGGATTCTCCCTCCTGGTGTTGAGTCCCGATTCTATCTAGGATGATAGTGTGCTTATTTTTATGAAATTGTCTCTATCAGACTCTTGAAGACTCTGAGATTTCCAAGAACTAGAAAACAATATTATGTGTTCACTTAACAAATGCTCATTTTTTAAAAATAAAACTGTTATAAATTTAAAGAAAACAAATATCGATTTTATCTTTTAGTATCTACTCAGAGTATTATAGTATGATGAAATAAATTCCCTTAATTATTGGAGGGTCCTCAAAGAGAAAGTGCTCAGTTCTTTCTGGGGGAGAAAGAAGATAGCCAACAACCTGAAGGACAGTCGTGGTTTGTCACATGGATGTACTGCAGGCAGAGGAAAGAGTATCAGGAAGGCAGAGCTAAAGGTGTGCACTAATTTAGGTCATTTCAGATGTTATCCATGATACTCGTACAACCTTTAATTCTTTATCATCAGCTCCTTTTTTATTTTTTATTTTATGACTGCAGAGACAAGATTTCGAAAACGTGGGCAACTCAGGACTAGTTTCCAGAGAGTTTGCAAAAGCCGTTGTGGAGTCGGGTCCATCTTTTCTACCCAAAGGCCCAGTGTCTGCGAGTGTGTGGAGGAGATAGGGAGAAATGAGGCTATGTGAGGACAGACAAGGGACTCTGAGGAAATAGGCCCAGGCACTGCTTCTTTTAGGATCTTAGACTTGACCTTCTAACACTGGGGAGCCAGAGGATACTGTGAAGGAGAGGAGTCACATAATTCGAGTTTTGTTCCAGAAAGGTGATCTCAGCCGTGGCAAGGAGAAGGAAGTGTTGAAGTGTCTGAGGAGTGTGTGAGTGGAGTCAGGTTGTTGTGAAAATGTAGGTCGGATATAAGGTGCTCTGGACTAACTAATGGCAGAGAAGGGCTAGTAGGTTTGGATGCAAGACAATTCTGAAAGGAAGTAAGCAAGACTAGAAGACATGGCAGCAAAACAGGAGCATCCACAATAGCAGGAGCTTAACTGTGGCTGACTTAGTATAAAGGTTTGACGATGTCCATATATCCATACTTCAATACATCTACCATTTTTTGTCAAATATCCACCCGAACACCCTGCCATACCTTCTCTTGATTCACTAAAGTTTTGAGAAAGCTAGGGTTGACCTTTTATTTGATAATCTTAAAGCCTAAGCATTTAGAGTGGAGAGAAGGGAGCATCATGGATGCACTATAATTTATGACATCCTTGTGGCAGAAAATAAGTCAAATGTCTTTTGAACATACGGCTCATACGTGACAATGAAGGCAGTGTGCAGGACAGCTATGTGCAGAAACTCACTCGGTCCTTTCAGGGCTCAGGTCAATAAAGCCCAGGGCAAAGCTATTCCTGGTGTTAAAGGAGTATGGGCAGAGGGCTCATTCTGTCCTTTACAAAGATGCTTGAACATCAGAGCAAGATAGTTTTCTTGGACTGAGAGTCTGCAGTTGTGAAAAGGACTTAAAAAGAGAGGACAAAGGAGAGACAGTGAGTGCAGTATGCTAAGTTCCTGCTGGGAGCCAAAGGAGCTTCAAGAGTCCCTGCCTGGAAAAAGAGAAAAGGTAATAGCCGATGCGTTCCCTCCAGGGACCAGCCACATGAGAAAGTCCAGACAAAGGAGGCTGAGGAGAAAGAACAGAGGAGATGGGATCTTACTGGGCAATCACACACCCTTCATCTCCTACCCTGACTTGGATTGCAGCTACTTCTCAGCAGTTGGCTTTTATTGGTTTCTTTAACTAGCTTGGCCTGATGATGGTACATGTTGAAAGAGGAGTTGGCATCAGCTGTGCTGGGATAATGAGTTCGACAGGAATATGACAATCTCTGCCTTGTCTAGAGGTGGTGCTCTCAGACCCTACACTTCCTGAGATCAGGAAGAGGGAGGAAGGTGATTTAGGACAGCACAGCAGCAGCCATTCTGTGAAGACCCTGTGGGCATGCTCAGTCAAGCAGCGGTTGCTCAGCTCACCGGAAGTCTGAAGGCTGCTTTAATTGCTAATAAAAGGATGTTGAAGAGTGAGAGGCACAAAGTATACTCAGTCCTATCTGCTACTCTCAATTACAAGGAGGGACGGTGCTGATTCTGGGGCAGGTTAGGGAAACTGGGTGTGTGATTACAGGTTAGTATTAAGTTTATGGTCCTCATTTTGTATTAGCTTTATGGAAGATATCTCTCTGACTTCCTTGTATATTCCCATATGGATAAACATACATTTTTTTTCCCCTTTTGGTGAAATTACACTTAGACTTATATTGTAGTTCTGATTCTTTCTTAGGGGGAAAGCTTATTGGAATCCATGTTTTAAAATTAGTTAGGAGAACTTGTAAATTCATAAATGAATTAACTAAATGAGACAAAAATTACAATGGGTAATTCACATGAGATAATAATCCATGAAAACTTTCTACCATTTTTTGGTGAAAAGATATAAAACAATATTACTAAATTGTCACTCTTACCCAAAAGTCTTAAGGGTAATCTGAACTCTACTTATGATGTGGGCAATGAGAGGAGAGAAATTAAATTTTTGAAGGGGAAAATGGAATAAAAATGATGGTAATTCTCTGTAGTGTATGCAATAATTATGGAAGCCTGAGGCTGGAGTTAACCTCCTTCTTATATCTCCAGATGGTCTGGGCCTAAATAATCCTGTAAGTCTCTCTTTCTGTCTCCGTCTATGTCTTTGTCTCTCCTTCTCCCTTCTTGTGTCTCTGTCTCTCTCCCTTGCTCTCTGACTTCCACCTTCTCGTCCATCTTGAGTACTTCTCATTGTAATGTATTCAGTGAGTCAAACTGAAAAGGAACCCCTGTTTCAGGCCCACGCAGCACGGTGTGGTTGAGATGGGGGAGAGTTCACACA